ATCTCATCATTCAATTGTTCAAATAAAGTCTTGGGTTAATCACAATCGGTACTTAGTAAATTAAATCACTCTTCGTGGGAACGACACTTCACTTATCACTGTATTACTTGTGCGAATTGTGCGCTTGCAATAAATTCACAAAGAGCATGATATGGCAATTCAACTAGAATATGCAAAAGAAAGGGAGTATATACGCAAAGAAAAGGAGTATGTACGCCAAGAAAACATTGAAAAAAAGGATCGGGAAACCATGGCCATGAATACAAGCCATAAGTCCCCTGAATCAAAACAATTTTGGAAGCTAGAACGAAGGGATGTTATGAGACGAAAGCTTTTTCGTGACGATGGACCTAGCAACACGGATTGGTTAAATGATCAAAACCATTAAGTTAGTTTGCTTGCCTTTCATTTCTTAGTTTGCTTGCCTTTCATTTCATTGTTTGTTTTTGTTTAATAAATTAGTGGTAATTCATGTATTTTGTTTTCTTAGTTGTATTGATTTTCTTTTAGTGAATAAAGAAAATATTCAACAAAATTCCTTTTTATTCAAAACATTCCATACATAAAAATCAAACCACAACCAAAGCATTAAAAAAACAAAGCATAACTAAAAATACAACATCAACATAATAAATTAAAAAGACGTCTTCACTTCACTTCACTTCACTTCACTTCACTTCACTTCACTTCATTCACTTGACGTTGTTCATGAATATACGACGATTGCATCTCCTTGTAGCGATCAATCATACGGGGCATGAAACTACCATCTCAAACCAACGGTTCATGTTGCACTGGTTCTCCATTTGGCCCCATGGGTTTTTCATAAATTCGTGTCAAGGGCGTGTTCATGGGATCTGCCTCATACACTTCATCAGCTAGATAATCATACTCATCCTCCACAATCATATTGTGGAGGATGATACAAGTCGTCATTATGCTCCTAAGCACCTCTTCGTCAAATAGACGCGCCGCGCCCCTAATAATAGCCCACCGCGCCTGGAGGATACCAAAGCACCTCTCCACATCTTTTCTGTAACCCTCTTGATAGGTAGCAAATAATTTTTGCTTATGGGATCGGGGATGTGGAATTGATTTGACAAATGTGGTCCACCTTGGGTAGATGTCGTTGTTGCGTGGATACAGCTGCACCAAAATGGATTCAGTTGCATCCTCAACTTGTGATACTCGCAAGTGCACGAACCGTTGGTAGTTTAGCGTATGTAAAGAGGTGGTGTTGAATGAAACGCCACTCCATGAGACACCGACAACGGATTCACCTATGGATTCCCCGATGAGTCAAGACTCACCTATCGAAAGGGAGCCTAGGCCTATTGGGAGGAAAGCGGCGAAGGCGAAGAGAGGGAGTAATTCTACCAAGAATGCATCTAAATTTTTGGAGGACATTTCAAAGCACCAAGCCATGAGGATTGAAATGGATATGAAACAACAAGAGCATGACATGGAAATTCAACTAGAATATGCAAAAGAAAGGGAGTATATACGCAAAGAAAAGGAGTATGTACGCCAAGAAAACATTGAAAAAAAGGATCGGGAAGAAGTCCCAAATTTCCAGCAGCATCTTTCTTTTGAACAAAGTATTCATCATAATTGCAAATATCATGCATGATTTTATTGAATAAATGGGGTTGCATTCTATATCTCCTTCGAAAATCAACATCAGAGTATAGAGATTGTGGGATAAAATAATCTTCTAGAAGATTCTTACCCCGAGAATGTCTATGTCTGTCCACATTCGGGCGACAGCCTTCACGTGAACCACGGCGGCTCTGGTTTTCTTCCTCAAGCAAAGCCACTGCTATGCCAAGTTGCTCATCTAGTTCTCTCTGTACCCTCTTGCTTGCAGCTCTTCTACGCATTCTTTCTCTAGTTTCTCGCTCTTGTCTCTCCAGAACCTCTTCCATGTCTGCCATTGAGAATGGAGATTGAAATCTAAAATATGAGAAATGGAAATGTAGAGAAGATATGGAAATCTGAGAAATGGAAATGTAGAGAAGATATGGTGTGGGAGGTATGAGGGGAGCCTCTGGTTTTATAGAATAATTTAGGCAGATAGAGATGACACGTGGCGCAATTTTAGAGGGTGAAAATCTTATCTGAAATTTGAAATTCATTTGAAATTTGAAATTTGACATTTATATGAAATTTGAATTTTGAAATGTATCTGAAATTTGAATTTTGAAATGTATTTGAAATTTGAAATTTGAAATTTATCTGAAATTTGAATTTTGAAATGTATCTGAAATTTGAATTTTGAAATGTATTTGAAATTTGAAATTTGAAATTTATCTGAAATTTGAATTTTGAAATGTATCTGAAATTTGAATTTTGAAATGTATTTGAAATTTGAAATTTGAAATTTATCTGAAATTTGAATTTTGAAATGTATCTGAAATTTGAATTTTGAAATGTATTTGAAATTTGAAATTTGAAATTTATCTGAAATTTGAATTTTGAAATGTATCTGAAATTTGAATTTTGAAATGTATTTGAAATTTGAAATTTGAAATTTATATGAAATTTGAATTTTGAAATGTATCTGAAATTTGAATTTTGAAATGTATTTGAAATTTGAAATTTGAAATTTATCTGAAATTTGAATTTTGAAATGTATCTGAAATTTGAAATTCGAAATTTTTCTGAAATTTTTCTGAAATGTGAAACCGAAAATCTTATCTGATATGAATAGTATTGACACGTAGGAACCCAAAAATCTTACCCGAAAACATTATCCAAAATAACTGTTTAAGTAAAAAAAGTTGTGAAAAAAACAAAAAAATGAATAGTAGTTGCCATGGCAAGGGTTTGACTGTTGGAAACACACATAGCTAAAAAAGGCAAGGGCAGCCACTATTCACATGAATAGTGTCAGCCCTAGGCCCCCCTTACCATGGCAAGGGTTTGACTGCTGGAAATGCTCTAAGGGTAAGGGTAAGGGTAAGGGTAAGGGCAAGGGTAAGGATAAGGGCAAGGGTAAGGACAATTAGGGCCCGTTCGGTAACGTTTTAAGAGGTTGTTTTCATTTTCAGATAACAAAAATGAGGCAAAAACACGTTTGGTGGCCCAAAACAGAAAACACTGAGAATGTTTTCATAAAATGAAAACAAGTTCATGTGTACTTGTAGAAAATAGAAAAAAGTTGTTTTCATTCTCGTGGAAAACGTTTTCATAAAAATAACTCACATATTATTATTTCAAATTGTACTACCATACACGTTTTCATAGTTTTTGTTTTCTGAAGATGTTTTCTAATTAATCTACCAGACGCATTTTCATTTCCTAAAAATGCAAATTCGTTTTCTTGTTTTCATTCTCTGAAAATATTCTCCGAAAACATTCTTCGAAAACATTACTAGACGGGCCCTTACTATTTACATAAAATATGAGGAGATGAATTTGTATAGAGTTTTTGGTGTGGGAAGTAAAGAATATGGCTAGGTATTTATAAAAAAAAATTCTGGACTTTTTTTCAAATTTTTTTGGTTGATGACATCATTATGATGTCAGCATTGTGTCATTTTGCCCAAGCAGTAGCTCGGGCTGAATTTGCCTGTGGCCTTGCCTAGGCTCGTGGGACCCAACCCTTGCCTGGGCTAGACTTGGCGCGTTGGAGCTGCAATTGGCCCTTGGGCCCCCTCCTGCCCGGGTTATTCACATGCGGTGGACTTGCCCTTACAGGTGAGAAATTTGGAGCTCAAGGTTCTAGTGTAGGATTGGTGGAAGTTACCAATAAAATGCTGCCATCTGCCAAACAAAAAAACATAAAAAAAAAATTAGACCACGGTTCAGTTCATAGTGTTTTAAAAATCAGGGTGGTTCCTCATCAGATCCCCTAGTCTAATGGGGGAGATTTCTGGGAAAAATCAGGGGCAGGTACATGATCCTTGAACTTTAAAAATTTCTAATGGCCTGGAATGGTATAGTTAATTTTTAATTAATACCTAATATAATGTAGCTATGTATGATTATAATATAATCTAATCAATAACTATATAATATAATATATATTTAGTTTTGTCAAATTAAATTAAGATTATTTTGAGTTATTTAGTTAAATTTTATAATTCAATTGAATGTAATTTTTTTTTTGGTTATTCGTTAGGGAGTGGGAGGGGGTAATATTATATTGGGTTTCCTCAAAATTGTCTCCTACATAAATCGAACATGAGTGCACTTAAGGGGGGAGGAGGAGAGTTTGACCCATTTTTTTACTATGGTGCCATCTCATGTGCCAATTGAATGTAATTGAGTAAAATGATAATTTATGATGAAATTAAGGCGTTATAAATTATAATGCAACATAAATATTTTATAATAAAAACAAACCACAGATTCAAAGCGGGTTTGGGAGGTAGCCCCCCGACGGACATTGCCCGAATTTTTTTTATCGGGGATGGGGATGGCATTGCCCTACCCAACCCAAAACTGGCCCATTATCATCCCTAACAAAAACCGGTCTGAACTGATCCAGTTAGGTTTTTGTCCCAATTTTTATTTTTTCAGTCAATGTGTTTCTTTTCGGAAACTTGGTTCGGATCAATTTTCCGATTCTTTGGTTTCAATGCCCACTACATATTGTTGTGTATTCTTTAGGACCGACTATGATATGCATCGATGCATCGTGGTCTGAACTTGGTTTTGGACTAGGATTGTTACATAGCAACTTGGGTTGAAGACGGGTTTTAGTGAAAGCCGAAGCTGTCTTTGTAGTTTGTACACCCAATTTTTCTAAGCACTGTGGTCAAATTGTAAAATTATATCATTGACAACCAGCTCTCAAACTTGACACCATTTCGTATTGACATCCATATCGCCAGCCTCAGAGAGAGAGATATATAATATATATATATATATATATATATATACACTTCAATCCTACGGAATACGAGATCAAAGTGCAGTGTGCCAACTATACTCTACCCAGCCTCAGTTGCACTAACTATATAGCCATTGTTTATGAATGTGAAGCACACCCTGATCATGGCTTCTTCTCTTGGATGTATCCTGTCTGACTCTAGGAAAATTGAGACAGAATCCCAACCAAACCAAGGTCACGACATTATGCTAACCATGACTAAGCTTGCTGCATAAATGATGACATTCTCAGCCACATCAGACTGCCTAAAATGGCCCTTCCATGAACGGAGAGGTAAGCTGCATTTAACCTGGCAATCAGAAGCAAACAAGTCAATATATAGTTTTATTAAAGTGAGACTCAAAATAAAGCTTTTATACAGAGAAGAGATAACTTAAATAAAGCATGTTTTAATGTCATGTGAGGCCATTTACAATAATGATTGAAACATTGACTTTCTCACATGGTTAAAAGATACAAACGTACAATATATAACTCGTTTAACTTTATAATTCACTAATTCTCAGAACAAAAAAACTTTAAGTTTACTAAATGTAATTCAATTAAAATATGCTGCACTAACGGAAAAGGTGAGAAGATGTACTTATCAACATCAGGTGTAGCCAAGGGATCATCCGACTCATCCCTCTGTTCTATAGAGGGGGCAGCACCTCCCATACCTGCAATATCTTGAACTCCTTCAACCTGAAAACAAAACACCCAAACATATATTCAAAGAAAAGCAAACAAATCCCCACATCCTTCACTTTCTTAGCAAAACAATATGGAAGACTATAAATTGAAAGTTCTTCAAACCAACATTTAAGAACCACCGGTATACAAGTGAAACTGAATTGATAAAGACTTGCCTGTTGAGGATATTGGCCGTAACCAGCATATGCACCGTATGCATATAAAGATGGATCGTGAGTAGCCCCATAAGCATTGGCATCGTAACCTTGTCCATAACCATAATATGCAACCCATTGGCTTGGATCTACTTGCTGACTCCAGCTACCAGCTACATCCTACAATAAGGCAGTTTATCAGGTTATGCATGCAACTATAAATTTATCTCTTATGCATCTATGGGTGTTTGTCAGGTTAACCATGTTATCCTACTACTTGAAAGCATGTTCATTGAATCCTCTTTCCTTCACCCACACCCCTCCCACAAGAGAGAGAGAGAGAGAGAGAGAGAGAGAGAGCCCACATGCCATTCATTCATGGTATTCACATCTCCACCTTAAGTCAATACTTTCTATTCATGACAAAATTAAATAATTTATCAAGGTTGATATTTTTTTTTTTTGAATAGAAACGTTTGTATTGATAATCAAAAGGGAAAAATCCTCGATCAAACAATAAAAGGAAAGCTCCAGAACATCTAAAATAAAGAGAATCTAGCCTACTAAGTCTGAAAACAAAACTATAAGAAGAAAACAAAACTTAGGTAAAATCATCTTAAGACTGCTGCCATGTCTCTCAAGATGACAGAGTAGTGATAATCCTTGAACTGCCCTGAACCCGATGCCCAAAGAGAAGCCCAAAATTTAACTCTATCCCATAATTCCTCAGCCCTTACTCCTATGTGACCCTGAAAAATTCTTCGATTGTGCTCCATCCATATATTCCAGAATATAGCATGCACTAGACAGTCTCGTAGGATTCCAGCTCTCTTTCCCTTCCCCAAAACCAACAACTTGATACTAAGGAGCTCAAGACACCCTCTAGGAATCACCCACTCCGCTACAAGAGCTTCCAACATCCTCCACCATAATTTTAGGGAGTACGAACAATGAATGAACAAGTGATCAATGTTTTCTGCATTCTTTTTACAAAGAACACACCAAGAAGGGGATAAACACATCTTTGGTTGTCTCCTTTGCATGATATCGCAAGTATTAAACTTGCCAATTGCTGCCAGCCACACAAAGAATTGAATTTTTCGGAGGTGTCTTTGCCTTCCAGATTGAGAGGAAGGGGGGAAAGACATCTCTGGACTTAGAGAGAAGAAAAGATCTGAAAGACTTGCACGAAAACGAACCCTGCTCCTCGATCTCCCATGATCTCCGATCCAATCTAGAACTGTTTAATCTCACCTTCCCCAATATATCCAAAAGTATTACCACTTCTGCAATTTCAGCCTCGGACAAATTTCTTCTGAAATCAAAATTCCAATTAAGAGGTAGTTCTTGAGTGTTAGCAAAATGGGATATGCTTTGAATTGTTTTCCTGGACAAGGAAAAGAGTCTAGAAAACAGATTTTTCAGTATCCCTTCTTTCAACCAAAGGTCCTCCCAAAATCTGATTTTCTCCCCATTTCCAGCAGAAAATTTGTAGCATTGAAGGAAAGAATTATACCCTTTCGAAATTTCTCGCCAAGGATTCCTGCAGGACACATTAGCTATCTGTTTAGTATCCCACCCATTGGAGTCGACTCCATACTTGCTCTTAATGATCCTATGCCATAGCGAGTTGGTTTCTAGTGGAAATCTCCACAACCATTTAGCTCTAAGGGCTTCATTTCTTTCTCTTAAAGAGCCAATTCTGAGACCACCTGCCTCTTTCGATCTAGTTACCCTTTCCCACCTGACCAAGTGGTTTTTCTTCCCTTCTTCTAGTCCTTCCCATAAGAAGTTACGCATAAGCTATTCAACTTTGGCAACCCTATAGGCATCTTGAATAATGACATATAATAAGAAGGAATGCTACTCAACACTGCTTGGATTAGCGTTAACCTTCCACCCTTGGATAAACAAGCCCTCTTCCATTTTTGTAGTCTTTTCTCCACCTTGTCCATTACTGGGTTCCAGAAATTAAGAGCTCTTGGGTTTCCTCCAAGAGGAAGACCCAAGTACACCATAGCCCAGCAACCTACCTCACATCCCCACCTGCCCGCCAAATTGTTCAGTGCTTCGATATTAAAATTGATCCCAAAAATGCAACTTTTAGCCTTATTAATCTTCATTCCAAAAACATCCACTATGCCAAATTTTGCTTTACACCACACCACATAGGCATCGATAAACTTAAATCTGATGTTATTAGTATATTAGGCACCGGTTTTATAAATAATAAGACTAAAATGGTATAAAGACATCATAAAAAAATTTAGGCTTTGCCTACGATGCCGTTGATGCTACTTTAGCATGTGTGGTTCAACATACCGATGCCTAAAATGGTCTTCAAATTTCTTTTACAACAGAACATTTAACCACCGATGCCAAAACCATGGTCAACCCGCTACAGTAATTTTTTTTTAACGAAAAATTTCAGACTCCCTCGCAATTTCAGACTCTCCCTCTATATTTTTGGGAAATTTTTAACTCTCTCTCATCCTCTCTCTCTCACTCAATTTCAGACTCTCCATTTCTTTCCTTTCTCAAACAGCGGAAAGTTTTTGTCTCTCTCTATCTGCTGACAAACTCTTCTCTCCAACTCCCGATAGTCTCTCTCTCGCACTGTTCTCTCCCTACTCGCGAACTCTCAGTGGAACCATCTTCCCTATACTCTACGCTGGACCGCAACCTGAGCGACTTCTTGCAGCCTTGGATGCGCGATTCTTCTCTTGAGCTGTGGTAGGTTGCGTCTGACCACCCAATCGATGAAGACTAGGGTAACGCTTTTGTCTCTCTCTGGTTTTCTCTTTGCGAAGATTTTTGTGATCAATGAGGGTTTCAGTTAGAGATTTGGGGCTCTTGATATTTCAAATCCCTACATATAAAGGCAGTGGTTGAGGTTTAATTGTGTGGATGATTTTTAAATAGGATTTAGTGTTTGTTGTAGATGCAGATTAATTGGGGCTTTTTGTTTTTATTTTTGGGATGGAAGCTTCTGAACTTGTACAGTTTCTTCTTTTCAGTTTTGTTCAACTCGCTGCTACAAGAGCTGTTGTAGGGGATGGTTACGGTGGTCAACAAAAGTTATTTGCCTTATCATTATTGCCAGTTGAACTGAACTGAGCTGATTCGTTTTCAAAGCATGATTTGATGTGATTTTCTTTTAGGTTTTTCTCATCCTATAGAAAACAACACAATGTGTAGTAGATTGGGTGTAAAGCACCTGGTTTCGAATACTCCTGTGGATAGCAGAGCTTTTGATACGAGTTTCATATATGTGAATGTGTTGTGCTATTTTAACTGTAACATGATTGTGTTGTGTTGCTGTTTCTAAGTTCTGATGTTTTACTAAATGAGCTAATTTTAGATGTCACGACGAATGATTGAGTTTGACATTTAGGTACTGGGCTACTAGAAAATCTGATGGATCCACAAAGAATGGCCGAGACTTGGTCCTATTTTTCTTCCTCTTATTTATGTTTTTTTAAATTCATTTCTTTATATGTGTTTTTTATATGAACCTCAATTCAAGTTGCAGGAAAGTCAAGATAGGATATTTGGATGTAAGCCATTCCCTTTTGTTTTTCAGTTTGGTTTTGTATTCTAACAAAGGCGGATGCCCATATCAGATTCATAACAAAAAGGAATCATTTTGCTAGATATATTAATGTAAGAATTTGTTTCTCCCAATTAGTATAATCTTTCATGATAATTTTCTTTTGGTAGTATCCAGATTCATGCTAATGTAGGGTACTTGATTAGCTTCACAAATTAGCTTCATTCTGCAGCATAGATTTTTTGGTTTATTTTGTCTTTTGTATACTTCCATTCTGCAGCATCTTTACAGCTGTAAGTTCTTCATAGTTAAGTTTGCAAAGCTTGAAACAATTCTAATCTATACTTTTCTAATCTATACTTCCGCTCCATGTGAACTTGTCTGGTGGAGTTTAATTTCTAATTTTGAATACAAGTGAAGTGATAAAACTGTACCTGAAAAGCTTATATGTAAATATCTGTAACTAGTTCGGTTTCATTTCCTGCATGTATTGCAGTCAGCTAGACTTGGGGTGGATGAGAAGAGTACAACAAATACTTGGTCGTAAACCCCAACGTAATCTGCATGTAGGTACCACTGAGTTTGTCCAAGTACTTAAGCAATTATATATATGCCATCATCTCTCTGAACTTTTATCTTCTTTATATAGGCAATATATGTCCTTCACCCAACTTTTGGAATGAAGGCTGCAATATTTGCTCTGCAATTGTTTGTGGACAATTTGGTATGCCTAACTTTGTTTGTGATTATTATTCATTAAGACTACATATCACTTGAAAATGGCTTCAAGTGAATGTCATTCTAACTTTTGTTTCTAGGTCTGGAAGAAAGTGGTATATGTAGATAGATTACTGCAGCTCTTCAGATATGTTCATCGTGAGCAGTTGTTGACCATCCCTGACTTTGTGTTCCAGTTGAGTTTCTATGTTCCTTCCCCCACTTATCCCACTCCAATTTTTATAGCAACTTGGATTTAAAATTCCCAATTTTTATAATCAATGCATGCACGATTTAGAAGTCAATGGTGGGAAGGGCCTTATTGTTCTGTTTCTGCAAATTTTCAATCTCTGTATCATAAGACAATAATATATATTTGCACTTACGGTACATGGCTTATGAATTCTTATCTTACTCTTAAATGTTGTGCCTACTTGGTATATATTTGCACTAATGGTACATGGCTTATTTCGTTAAGAGTTTAATTTCATCTACAAGAAAATAATATACTTGAAATCTTTTATTTATCTGAACCTCAATTCAATTTGCAGGAAATTCAAAAGAGGGTATTTTTGTGTAGTACATGGCTTACTCTCTACCTCATCACATGATCATTTAATTTCTAGTTGAAACAGGAGTGGGATCCATTTAATGACTTGCTGTTATCTAATTAGATTGGTTGACAAATTAGATTTTCTTGTTGACCAATATGATTTCGTAAATTTGCATATTGGTTATTTTAAAGTGACAACATATCTTATGCAAATTTAGTACCTTGCACTTTTTAAGCTTATGTTCATATTTTGTGTTTACCTTCTACGTGTTTTTTTTTTTTTTTTTTCCAGTATAGAGCTAGAAGGAAGGACACTTACACCCAAATGGAATTGGATGAGGTGCGAGAAGAATTGGCAACTCATGTCCTAGAATGACTTTTTGATTGAGCTAAACATTCCTTCATTTTACATGTCTTTCTAGCTAGTATTTTGTGGTGTAGGGCTGGTAAATTTGTGATTTGGATGTGACAAGTATGGATAATTCAAGTATTTTGCGCATATATATATGTAGACAAGTATGGATATATTTAAATTACTGTTTATGTGAAACAAGCAAAATACCTACCCTTTCCTTACATAAATGATGCTTATTGTTTATAACAACTTCAGTTTTCCAGAAATAACTGAAGTTGAAAGATAAAAACAACAACCAAACATCCATTATCACTGATGCCTCAAATGAGAAGTAGCATCAGTATTTATGTAACCACCAGCACTATTAGAGGCTTTTCACGTCCGCAAAATAAAAAAAGCGATGATGTATAATATAATTCACAACACCATTATTTGTTTCTGCGATGTTGTAATTGATAATATGCATCAGCATAGTAGATATCACTGATGCTATTAGACCTCCATAGCCTCACCCCTTTTAAAACTACTGATGATGTTAGACCTCTTTAGCCTCCTCTCTTTTGAAAGTACTGATGTTGTTTCGGGTTTAGGCGTCAGAAGTCAACCTTTTTTTGGCACCGGGAAATCATTTAGGCATCGGAGTTTACTTGATATCCGATGTAGCAAGTGATAAACAGCGACGGAGAATATCCGTTGCCTATTACATAGGAATAGGCAACAGTCACCAATACCACGGTATTTATGTGTAATAGGCAACGGATTTTATCCGTTGCTAAAGCCCTTTTTTGGCATAGTGATCACAAAACAACTTCAACAGCTCTAGCAGATTTAACCAATACTCTTCCTTGCCATCCAAAAGGAAAATGGTATCATCCGCAAATTGGAGGTGAGACACTTCCACTTGGTCATGCCCAGATACAATACCATGTACTAGGTTAGTTTCTTCAGCCCTTTCTATTATTCTACTTAATACATCGCTAACCAAAGTAAATAGGAATGGTGATAAAGGGTCCCCTTGTCTTAGTCCCCTCGACGCCCTAAATTTTCCTCTTGGTTTTCCATTAATAATGACAGAAAAGTTAACAGATTCCAAGCAGCCTTTAATCCAACTTCTCCATTTGGCTCCAAAACCTTTTCTTTCTAGCACATCATCTAAAAAATTTCATTCCACATGATCATAGGCTTTCTCGAAGTCTATTTTGAACACTAGCCCTTTTCTTTTATGTTTCCTGACTTCCTCTACAACTTCATTTGCGACTAATACTGCATCTAGAATCTGTCTCTTTTGGACAAAAGCTCCCTGAGATTGAGAGATAGTATTTCCAAGAACCTCCCTCAATCTTGAAGCCAAAACCTTGGATATCACTTTATATAGACTCGAAACAAGACTAATCGGTCTGTAATCAGTAACCTTCACAGAATTCACCTTTTTAGGAATAAGACAAATGAAGGTTTCATTTGTAGCCCCGTTTACAATCCCATTATGGAAAAAATCTTGCATAACCTTCATAAGGTCTCCCTTGACAATCTCCCAGCAAGATTGGAAAAAACTCATAGAATAACCATCTGGGCCAGGATTTATCCTTGCCACAATCAAAAATTGCTTTATGAACTTCCTCCATTTCGAATGGACGTTCGAGCCAATCAGCTTCCAATTGACTAATAGGGCACCAATTTGGACCTTCTACACCCCAGCCTACATTTTTGTTGCTGCTATATAATTTTTTAAAGAATTTAAGCACTTCCCTTTCAATGCTTGCTTCGTCTTCTATTACACCCAATTCCTCCACTTCTAATTTGTCTATGAAGTTTCTTTTCCTGACTCCATTTGCTACTTTGTTAAAGAACTTGGTATTTCCATCACCTTCTCTTGCCCATTTTACCTTTCCTCTTTGACGCCATTTGACTTCCTCCTTTTGGGACAAATCTCCGATCTTTTTGAGAAGATTTTCTTTCTCAATCCTCAAAAGATGATCCAATCCTTCTCTACCTTCTCGTTGATCCAAAGCCAATAATCTAGCTTCGGCCTCCCTTATGTGTAACTCTACTTCCCCGAATTCCTCTTTGCTCCAAATTTTCAATTTCGATTTTATCATTTTTAACCTCGTCATGAATTTGTATCCCTCCCATCCCAGTATCTGGTTCTCGCCCCACAAAAACGTGATATTCCTCTTAAAGTTCGGATGATTCAGCCACATGTTTTCGAACCGAAAAGGCGAAGGACCCCATTTTACCTTAGAAGTGTCCAACTCTATAGGGCAGTGGTCGGATGTGACTCGCGGCAAAGCTTTATGGCGGTAATGAGGAAAATAATCTTCCC